TTTATTTCTTGCACTTACTGTACATCGCCACGACCGTGCTTCCGTTTGGCCAGCATAACCGCCTTATTTAACAAACTCATTTCGATAATCGACGGCTTCACGCGACACGCCTCGCCATCCACCTGCATGGGTATAGTCTTTTTGGTGATGATGCGCGCCGACCGACACTGGCAAATGCAGGTGCCATGCAAGCCGGCCTGCAGCATGGGCAGTTGGTATGTGGTCAGGCCGACGACCTCAATCATGCCGTCATCGATGGCTGGCTTAGATTGGCCGAACGAGTCGTTCCAGGGGTGTGTACCGCCGCCATAGCTAAATGCGAACGAGGAGAAACAAACACAAAAAAAAGAAGAAAATTAACAACAAAGTATAATGTGGGAGTGGAGTTCGTCGTCATGCAATGCGACATTTTGCTAGATCCTTTGGAATATTTCAGATTTCTGCATATCTACATTGTACATGTACACAAATGTGTTTGTAGGTGTGTGTGTGCATAAAATGCCATATCGTGGCAGCACTTGAAGAAGGTGTGCAATTTGTGGCTAAGTGATTGCAATTGTTGCTGCCAAGCAAATGATGCCCGCCCAGGCGTTTGTGCAAATCATGGTGGCGTGACGTTGATAACAAAGTCGCTTTTAAGTTTTACCTTCTGCCTTTAATGCCACGTCTTAGGTTACCTTTATTGGAGTCGAACAATGGGTGTGTGTGTCAACTTACCTGCCAATATTAAGAAACAGCACTGCATGGCAGCCGGCATCTCGCAGCTTGCCCGTGTAGTCGGTGCCGTCGCACTCCATCGTAACCCATTGGGAGAGGTTTCGATACTGCCGCAATATCAGATCCTTGCCACCCATTTGACCGTAGTACATTTTATTGCGTAGGCGCGAATTGAAGCGTTCCGGATGGGCTTCGCGTGCCTCATGAAACTCGAGTGCAATGTGTGCATCGACACCGAACGAGTAATAGTTGTTGATCACATTTAACGGTACGTTGTCTTTGCTGCGGTTGACATTGTCGTCCTCTACTTCGCGATTTGGCGTGACATTTAGACGCCAGCGATCCATCAGCACACACTGAGACATCCCGATTTCACGTAATATTTTGCTGATCGGCTCATCGGTGTAGCCCTGTGCGACAGCAAATTAGATGTAAAGCGGACGGCGGGAAAGAGAGAGAGGCAATATAATACTTACTCCACCCCAACCTAGTGCGCGTGCGAGATCATTGCCAGTACCTAGCGGCAGTACACCAACCGCGGGCGCGGGCGTTATCGGCGGATTGATCATGTCCAGCACCGAAAGTACCCAACCGACGGTGCCATCACCACCGCACGCCAATACGCGTAAATTTGGCGCTTTGCGGAATAATTCCAAGCTATTGGATAATGGGAGTTAGTTGGAGAGAGATTTTGTCTGCGAGTCATTTCTAAAGATGCGTGCGTACTTACCCCATCTTAGGGCCACCTTGCGTCAAATCGAAAACTTGTCGTGGATTGAGCAAATGTTGGAATTTACCCAAAAGCTTAACACCTTGATTGCCGCCCGATTTGGGATTGATGAACACTATCACGGGTATGACATCGGGCGATGGTATGGGCTTCACGATGAAGGCGCGTGGCTCTTTCTTCTCCTCCTTTTGTTTTTGCCGCTTACTCGTGCCCTTCTTTTTACTCGTACCTATTGTGACATTGCTTTTGTTGTTCACTCGTATGGAGGACTTGAAATTTCCCTTGGTGGGCAGTTTGACAATCCAAGAAGGCGGCACAATAATGGGTGCATAGTTGCCTGAAAAAAGTATTAAAGTGTTTAAAAAAAAATACCACTATCCACTATTCTTTTTAAAAGTGGTCACTGAACTTAAAAATTTAATAACAATCACAACAAGTGACGTTTTCAAAAAATGTATATAATTATTTTGAATTTCACATTTTATTTTTATATGCTTTATATTAGTAAAAATAAAATTTATCGAGCCATGTGTTATCTAAATTATTCTTGGGCAACAGTTTTTTGTTGCTTGCACCCTAGTCCTACCGCAAATTCGTAATTTTGGAAATAACTAACGGCATCGTCCCACCTTGCAAGCAATCTTTATCCTTTCCTACCCCACAATATTAAGTCATTGCGATTGGCAGCAACTCTAGAAGCTTTCAGGAAAATGTGCCCACTCACTTTGCTTCAGATACGATGTGAACACAAAACGCATGCAATCACTTAAAGTGCGGTGGTGAGCACGCCTGCGAAATTCATTGCAAGCAAATGTGGACTGCAGCGAGCATGTGTGTGTAAGTGTTAGCATGAGATTTCTTATGTATGTATGTATACGTGTGTACGTACATATGTACTTGTACTCCTTGCACTTTTAACGAAAACAAACCGTAAAATTTTCCAATCGATTCCTATGGCGTAAGCCAATTTTTAACGAGTGGTTGTCGGGGCGTATGAGCAACATTCATTCATCTGATTCAGATTACTGATATGTACTTGTACATACATTTCGATATTTTTACATATAGATGTATATCCGTAGCTGCATATTATATCTAATTGCTGAAATTGAACGGTTGTCAAACGCATTAGTCTAATTGCTGTGCGGAGAGCTAATGCAAATGCATTGATATGCCAGCTGGTGGGTAGAGGATATGAAATTGAAATCGGCGAAGTGGGAAGTAAGAAGTTTGCAATTGCCTGCGTAAATGTGTCACTGAAGAGTCCTATTTCAGGATATTTTCCTTCATTTAGTCTTATTATTTATGTTTGCGGGGATGATTAACATTTTTATATATGAAAGCGTTTGAGAAAGTGTATAAGTATATAATTTTCTGAAAGACGAACATTTTTCGTTATCTTATCACTAGGGCTCGGAATCTCGTGCACTAAAAAATCGAAAATATGCGCTATAAACAAGTAAAACAAAAACAATTTGCTTCAAAATACAAAGTATATTATGTATAAAATTAGTTGGTAATCAAGCAGTTACAATCATGTGCAATAGAATTATTGATATTTGAATAGTGGTTAGTTGAATGGTTGGTTGATTTAAGTGGATTGTCACTGGTCATTTGCCGGGCTAGCCGAGTGTCGTAAGACTCATTCTTTTGAAGGCGGGACACTCGCACTGCGACAGAACCTGTTGAAGGGCAATCCCATCCTTTCGACATGTACCCCAACGGGCCAGTACCCCGTGCACACTGCAATAAGTTTGTGGGTGGTATCTTCTTTGCTAATTACTAAGAGAGCTTTGGTTTTAAGTGGGTCGTAAGACATCTAGAACTGTTGGGTACGATACTGTATGGTTCCACCTCTGCTTGGTCTTCAAATGATAAACTTCGGTAATTTTTGCGTGGGACACATTCAGTGCGGTGCGGCACCTTGTTAGTTCGTCCGCTGTCTCGTTTCCGTAAATATACCTATGTCTCGGGACCCATATTAGGGTAATTTTGTATTAGATAGAGATATGCACCAGCTCTCTCCTACAGTCCTCCACTAATTGAAATCGAACAGAGGTAGAAGAGAGTCCCTTAATGACTATCCAAGAAGATATTCAGATGAATATTTGGAAAAAAATTGAAGGTAATTTTTTTTTGTCAACAGATTTCGGACTAAATTTAAGTGGTTGTATAAATAATAATACAATAAAAATGCAAAAACAGGTATTTTTTTGCAAAATATGCAAAAATTTGCACTAACAATGGAATGCCATTTTAAAGGAAATTTCATGATTCGTAAAGATAACTTAACTATTTCCATTTGAAGACGCCCAGTAAAAACATGCATTTGCATGAGATTCCGAGCCCTACTTATCGCAAATTGGTTTTTACTTTGCATTTTGTGACTTCATGCTAAAATAAGATACGAGTGTGCTTATCACTTACATACATGCATACATACATACATACATATGTATGAAGTATTTTACGTAAAATGTCCATGGTAAAATTGCGAATATCTCGAATCAAGCTGAAAACTGGTAAAATTATTATCTGGTCCGAACAAAGTTTTTAGCTTTCTTTGAAAATTTGAAAATTTTTTGAATATTGCTTCTCACCGCTCACTGTCATATGTGCATGTAATAAAAAAAAAAGAATCGAACATGTATGTTTATTACCGTGGGCCGAAAATCCGCTTTTTTAGAACTTCGATTGGTAATAGCAAAAATATGGTTCATTATGCTCTAAAAACAATCTGTGTGAAAGATGACAATTTTTGGTCAATATCTAAGTTCAATGTGCTCAAAAAATAAAAATTAATAAATACATTAATTAATACAGTTTTTTTTACTAAAATTGCAAGTATCTTCGAAAGTATTAGTCCTTTATAATTTGGTGTATGGACCTTTTTTTGTTATTACCAATCAGAATTCTAAACAAGTAATTTTTATCAAAAAAAAACCGACTTTAAAAAAAAAATATATATATATATATATTTCATGATCCAATGATCAGATCTAAACTAAATTAGTATGGGACCACCTCTGAGACACTACCTTTCCGTTGCGAAATTCGAAATCGGTTGACGTGGTCCAAAGTTATGCGGTAACATACATAAAAAATAATATTCCGACGAACTGATAACCTCCTCCTTTTTGGAAGTGGGTTAAAAAGCGGATTTTCGGCCCACGCTAGTGTTTATTATGCATTTTCTGATGCTCTTTTAATTGGCGAACCGAGTTTTTAACATTTTTATTTTACCCTGATTTTCAATATTTAAAAACATATAAAAAAAATATATATATACATATATCTCATGATCCACTAATTGGATCTTAACCAGATTAGTATGGGACCACCTCTGAGACACTACCTTTCCGATGCAAAAAGAATTATCGAAATCGGCGTGGTCCAAAGTTATGCGGTAACATACGTACAAAAAAAAAATAATAATAATATCCGACGAACTGATAACCTCCTCCTTTTTTGGAAGTCGGTTAAAAAGTATGCTTTTTTCAACAAAACCGATACTTTTTATTTCAGAATAAATGATTGCAATTGCAAATTATGGATTTTTCTTAAAAGCGTATCGATTTACACAATGGCTTCATTTTTTATTTTCGAGATATTCGACTTCAAAAATGCCCTACAGCGCTAACCCGGTTTTGCGTTTATGTAGTTGACCGCGGCTCATCGCAGGGCGCTGTAAAGCATTTTTTTTTTTTGAAAAAAAACAATTCTTAGCTTTACACACAACTTTTTTATGAGCTTTTTATTAAGTTTCACCTGTTTATAATAAAATTTTGCAATAAATATTTAACCAACTTCTCGATGAGCTAGGGACTTCATACTTCAAACTTAGTTCAGAACCCGATGACAATGCAATATGAAAAGGTGGCACAGGTCAAAATATTTAGAAACCTCGTATTTACGGCCCGATTTATTTCATATTTACAACGGACATAAATATATTACTTAAACGGAAAGATTTTTCGAGTCGAATTTTTCATGTTAAACATCAGCAGTTTCTCCTTGTATTGAACATACATATCGTGAAATCATTTTTCATGAAAAGTTAGTTTCACACAAAAGTTGCTGTTTCAACGAATTAAGGACTGGGATGGTTACTTTGTAAAATAGTGCTTAAAAACCAACTCCAAAATTGTGTAAAAAGTGAAAACTACTCGAAAGATCTAAGTTTCTTCTTTCTTAAGCCTGTGAGAAAGGAATGAAGAAGCGATTTTTAACCCTAAGTCAAGTCTTTTAGGGTGTTGGGCAAATTTTATATTTCGATACTTTTTTAACTCGACTAGACCTACAAGAAAATTGACATCGCTTTGCAGGTATTTCTACTTCATTCTTTCTTATGGCACTGTGTAATAGCCACCATTATCGATTAAAATATATATAAAGATAATAAGGTTACAATTGAGGCGATATATACATACATATGTACGTCGTTTAAAATATGTTTAACTCAGCTTATGCGAAATTTTTGATTGATTACAAGAATTTATTGTATGAGAATTACAAAAATTTGGGCATGTATTCCTCTTGTAAAAATGTATTTTTTTGCTCTTTACTGAGACTTTTTAAGAGTTATCAATTTTCTTGTGAAAAATTTAGGAAACTTGCTGCTTGTAGTTTAAATAAATTTGGATAGGTATGTTTATACTACAAACCTACCTACAATTTCATTATATTTGAAATTGTTTACTCTTTGCAATTCAGTTATGCAATTACTTACCCAACGAACACTCTTCGCCAATTTTCGCTTGATTAAAGCAAGATTCCTTATTGTGATAGACTTCGTGACACCAAGCGCAGGATAATGCAACTATTTCCTTCGAGCCAAAAAGTTTACCTTGAACAGCCTGTACAAAATAAAGGAAATATTAAGAAAATGTAAAGACAATTAGTTTCGGCATGGCCTCTAAGACTTTATAGATCAGTCTCTGACAATGTACTAAATAGTGAGTGTAGATACAGTATTATCAAGAGAATAATACTGTTCTTAAAGTTTTCTATCTAAGTCTCAATTGGGCTGGGTTAGCTTTCTATATATATCTTTTATATGTACGGGTACAGGGTCAAATCTCTTTCTGGGAAATACTGCTCTAAATGAAAAATATTTATATACTTCTACCAAGAAAAGTTTGTTAGTATTTAACCATAAAAAAAAAAGCTTTTTTTTATACAAACTTAATGTAAGGCACAAGGTAAATCTTGAGGTCGCGGTGCCTTATCCCCAACAGCAAGGGACGATACTAAGCTATAAAGACTTAAGTATAACTGCGTGCACACTTCTAAACGGTGTAATACGAAAATATACTCTGTAAAATCATAAAATCTTAAATATACATAAAATGATCTGACTCCATGACACCACTTCTTATTTTGAATTCACTTTTGCTAGTTTCACCTTAAAAGCTCAATTTCGCAAGGGACAGGTTAATATAGTTATAATTGCATGACTTGCCGTAAAAATGAAAACTATGTACATACATATGTGCAAAGTCAAATGAAATTGTATACGAACCATAGAATTTCTACAACAACAAATCTATACACGCTTAAAATTTTTAAGTGAGTGTGAAAGTGCTTAAATTTGTGCTTCATAGCTTCATGTATACCCATTGCATTACTTCAGCTACAACTCATAAGGGATATAGATATTTGCATTAGACCGGGTCGGTCCTTAAATATACGTTTCTGAAAAAAAAATTTTCTTTGAAGTAAGATTTTAAGCAAAGGGAGTAGTTAGAAACTTTTTCTCGCGATTCTGCTAACAAGCAGGAGAAATTAAATATGTTGTATCTTAGCATCTTAAAATATACATAACATACTATATAACATATGTATGTAAGTATAGGGGTATGCATGTATGCGCACTGAAAGTTTGTAAATATTTTTGAGTGCTTGGAATGTGATGCGCTTATACCTCTGGCGTATAGAAGGCAAGAAAGATCAATCTCTAAATATAAAATCTGCTGTCCATGAGCTTAGATTGAAGTTTCGGCAGCTAGAAATCTAAGTGTTCATACATATACATGCTAAGGCGAAGTGTTACATACTTAATATGACAGTTGTAACGGTGAATCTGACGAATTCGACGAGTTTTTGCAAATTGTGTAAAACTGTTCCTAAAATTACTTTCCTGGGAAATTTTTTGGGAAGGCAGTAAAGAAGTAGCTCTATATCTCCTAAACTCCTAAGCCTTTACGAAGCATTTTATTACCATCTACTCTGACAGTCGTTCAAATCCAAAGGTTCCACAGCCAGTGTAGCTTTCGAGTGTAGGAGAGTCCCAAACCAGCCAGAATTACAGGTATGTGTATTGTGGTGGAGTGAAATTACGGATTTTTTTTGTTGAAATATGGAGAAAGTTGACTTTCTAGTCCAGAAATAAGGACATACGATGAACCAAACAACATTTTACACCTCTATTTCTGGGTCAGAAAGGCAACTTTCTACAGGTAGGAAAAAGCGATTTCTAAAAGAAGCGTAATATCACTCCACCCTAATGAACATCGTATTCAAAGGAAAGAACTTACGCATAAAAATAAGTCCTTATATGATCTGTTCTCCCGAAAGCAGAAAGGCAATGCCCGTTTCATAAAAAAAAAATAATAATTAAGGAAATCATGGAGATGGTAAGGCCCTCTACAATTCAGCGAAGGCCTTCTGCAAGTACTTTTTAATCCTTCATTTTTCGACTGGGTATATATCTATACATTTTTACATACATATGTATGTATATGTATATGTCTTTTTCTCACTCTTCTGCAAACCGCTATTTGCTGTCGGTTTCTCCATTTCCAATTATTTTGTGTGTTTCATTTCTTGTTTTTGCTGATGCTACTTTCTGTTAACGATAATCGACAATGGAATGCTCGGACACCTCAGACGTGCCAATATTTTCAATATTCCAGAAAACGTGAAAATTTCTTGGTAATTCTTGTTGCATGCAACATTTACTATTCAATGTGGTGGTTGGTTGCTGCCACAGACATTGTTACCTGCTCTACACTTAAATTATAATTTAGTATGCTGGCAGTGTGCAATCGATGTTGCTAATGGAGATGTTTATTAATAAATTCCATGAAATCTGGTTAAAGGATAAGACGAGCTCGAAATATGAAAAGATAATGGCAGGGCAGGAAGGGCAGCTTATGAGCTTGAATAATTATATAAATAATTGGAAATGAATTAAATTTGGCTAGAGGTTTGAAAGCGTTCATTGGCATGCACTGCAGGAGTGATTTTGCGGTTTAAGTGGCGATTTTCACAAATTTAGTTTGCCAATTCAATATAATCGCTTACTTAAAAGCTTTCAAGAATTAATTATGTACATATACACTTGCTATGATATCGTTACCTAAAGGTGAAGAGGTGCCAAGTCTATTTTTTTAAATTGTTCAGGAGAGTCGAATTATCTGCCATTCCTTATCAAAACTAAATTTTGCAAAGAGAAAACTGGACTTGGCACCCTTTCACCTTTAGGTAGCGACATATTTTGAACAACATTCGATTTACTCACCTTTCCGCACTGTTTGCATTTGCCCTTTTCCATTTTGCGATGCACCCAGTGATGATGCGTTGTCGATTGTTCCCTGTATTGTCGAACGCCTACGTCTCGATATGTTGGCTTACAAGCTAATTGAGTCTTTTCATTGACGATTGGAATGCAATTCTGATGTGCAATTAATTGGCAGGCCGAGCATTTCATGCGTTGACCACTTTTCTGTTGTTGCATAAGCAAATTAATTAAAAATGTAAAAAAAAAAATTAGTATAAAAAAGTATAAGTAGAAATCCTTAACTGCTAACATCGTGCGACTAAAATCAACTTTTTTTTTTGGTTCTCAGGAAAAGTTGCATATGGACGTGATATTATAAATTTTATGTAAATATTAATGCTGCATACTCAGTTTTTCATTTTCTCATCAATTTAATTTCTTATAGAATTTTAAAGTTTCAAAGCACTAAATTTTTCGAAAAATGGCTTAAATAAATACTTATTTATACTCACTCTACGATATTAATATGAATATCAAACGAAAGAGGAGAATATCTAACTATTAAACAAAAATTTTGTTTACTTTTCGCAAGGACAATTATACTACAATAATGTTCCAGTATAGGTGGAAATTGTTTTAAAAAATGTGTCTGTTTGTTTCATATAAACATCTCAGTGGATTGTTTGATTTAGATTCAGATCATCAGATGCAGAACAAATAGAGTGAAATTTGGGAAAGGTAGAAAATCTTGACTGCGAGGACGAAAGTTATTCCATTTTGCAAATGTTCATTAAAATTGAATTTGACTGTAAAACAGTTGACCGCCTCTTCGAAACTGTTTTCGTAATAAAGCTTTCTCAAATATGTTTCGTTCGTGATCTATATTGCAATATATTATTAAAGTAAGAGAATAAAATTTACTCGACTTTTAAAAATATTTTCGAAATAAAGCCTCTTGTGTTGGACTTGTCATCATCATACTAAATTTAATTAAAATTTACTTTTAAACCGGTGGCAATCCGTTTTAAAAATATTTTCGAACCCTTCGAAAGCCTAGCCGTACATATCTATTAACATTCATATTGCAATCTTCATTTAACTTAAGGAAAAATTGTGTTTGACTTCAAAACAAGTGGCAACATTCTTCAAAATATTTTCAGAATAAAGCTTCCTTAAACATCATTTGTTTTCCACGCACATTGTAATACTTCATTTAACTTATTTATTTAAAACTTATAATTTAAAACGGAATTTAAGTACATATTTGATGAGGTGGCAGCCCTTTTTAGAAAACATGCTATATGTTAATCTAAGCCATAAGCTATCTCGAAGCTAAATTTTATCCAAATAATGAGAAACAAACATACTCACTCACAAACTTTCACATTTATAATATTAGTGGGATTACTTATAGTATTCATTTGGCGAAACGTAACAAGAGGTATCCGTTGTGTATACTTTATTTCATTGGAAGAAAGTTAAATTAGTTTTTTTTACGTTTTTATATTTAAACCAATTTTTTTTTTTATTTTGGCCTTTTAGCAATACTAATTATAAAATCTATACTTTCACGTGAAAATGAATTTTTCCTGGATAAATTTTACTGTCGCACGGTGAAATGATAAATGACTTAAAAAATTAAATTAAAAATTTCTGAGGTTTTCTTATTTTAAGTGGCTGCCATCAATGGTGGATTGGTGCACTTATACCGGTTATTCAGTCTAATATTCTAAACTTTAGAATGAATGCTTTAAAAGCTGAACGACTTTGCTGCTCTAATGAATTAGATTTTCCTTCTGAATTAAGGGATTTATTTTAAAAATTAACGAAAGAAAGAGAAAATCGGAAAGCTGCATCTTCGTTTTTTATCTTCGTTTTTTATGAATAAGTTCAGAAAATATTAAAACATAGTTTCGAAAATTATACGGTTAGAGTGATTCGGCGAAATTACAATTAGAAATTCGAGAATAATGATACTCACAAATGATTAGCTATAAAACTAAGTACTAAAGAACTTCCTTGCAGGGATACGTGCGCTCTGGCGTATAAGTTGGCATGCGCGTGTACGATCGTGTGTAGGCGTGCGTTCACGCGTGCTGGCATGCGTATGAGTGCACCAATATTTTTAATGTGTGTTAAACACGCAATAACTGAATTACATGAAACAATTTTGTAATTGATTTAAATTGCTTTGCGCCCGCCTTATTGTGCTGCATAAGCGCGAGCATTCATTCGCATTTTAAATGAGCTGCATTTAATTAAATTTGAAGCTTTTAGTCTGATTAATTCCGTTCGTTGGCAGCCGAATAATGTTACTTATGTACATATATATGTATGTATGTATGTATGTATAGTCATAGTTTAAGAGTAATTAGCTGCCACACTTTACTGAAAATACTAAGTAATTAACTAAAAAAAGATGTGTGTCAGCGCAAATGAAACTTAAGTTAAAGTCGCCATATGCATAATTATTAAAAACTTAAATGTTTTTGTTAACACTTACTATGCACTCCTCATTCAAGCAACATAAATCGCCTGAAACCGATGTGGGCTTCCAAAAGTGTTCACCCTGCACCGCATTCTCAGTCCAGTCGGGCACAATTCGTATGGGTCGCCTTGCATTACTCGCTGACGCTGATCGTCTGCAATAAAAAATGAAAAATTATAATAAAAAAAACTATCTATTTATGTACATATGAGGTATGTGTTATAAAGGGGGAAAATATTCAATATTCAAATAGTTCGATATACTCTTGCATTCCAACCACAAAGACAGCTGCCACAAATAAATAATCAACTTGCGCACACATTTGACCTTGCATGTTTTGAGGAAATGCAAAAAAAAAAAAAAAAGTTCACCACCTACAGCAACAGATACATACATATTCGCATACATATTTATGTCCATACATATTTAATGAATGCGATTCGAGCTTCAATAATAAAGAAAGTCTGACCTTTTTTTTTATTTTCCATATATACATATCTAAGTATATTGTTTTACGTCGTTGATATTCAAAATAATTCGTGTTGATGTAATAAATATATTCATTTTAAAGCGCCTACATTTTGACAGTTAAGTATTAAAAGTGGTCTAAGAATGCCGTCAAATAAATGGAATTTAAGAAAATCCGTGTTGAAACTGTTTTCTCAATTTATAATATCCACGTTTTTCCCCAGAAATGTAATAACTTATATTTTTTGACCGCCTCCACACGAAAAATGAGTAAAAAAAGTTAGTGAATTTTTGAATTTCGCGCGCCGTAACTTCAAATGTACGCAACGGCCATAGATTAGTATGCGGGGAGTGAAATAACACAAACGGTAATAACACAAATTTGCTTTATTTCATTTCTCGTTGAGCAATAAGACCAACTTTTAAACTTAACATTTTGAGTAATAAAGCAAAATTTTGCACATATGTAGGTAGTCACCCAGTTACATTTGACAAAAAGTAGTACATGAACAAGTTTAAATGGACGGATTTGTATGTATACAATTTTGAAAGTGCCCAGCTTCGCAGCGGTCCACGTTCGCGCTCGCGCTATGTCCAATTTTCTGAGCAGTTATTAAAGACGACTCTTTTCCTATATTTTGTTAGACTTTTCATAAGTAAAAATATTTTGTGAATATTAATTTCTTCATATGAATTATGTCACATTTTGAGTATTTCCAACCTTTGTTGGAAATAAAGCAAAACTCAGATTTTGGTATTATTTCCCATTTAAAAGTGAAATAAAGCAAATTTTGCTTTATTGCCGTTTGTGTTGTAGATTACAGCAATATTTAAGGCTAAATACAAAGAGCAACGAAAATTTATAGACTATGATATCGATAACACTGTATTGAAAATCTCAAGTTATGAAATGACATAAAAACCCCCGAAACACTTAAGCTTAATTTTGAGCCGTAGATAACGAGCCTGTATGCTGTTTTTCTAAATCAAGTCAAAATTTAATGGGGGACAAATTAAAAAAATAAATAAATTTTTTTCAATTGTATTAAAGCTTGTTCCACAAAAAAAAATCAAGCTAGTAACAAAGAAAATCGATGTTAAATAAAAAAATTTTAAATTTAAATTTTTTCCCATGTTAAATTTTGATTTTGTTTTCGATTACAATGCAAAATTAAAATGAAAATATTTTGGGAAAATGACCTGACTTGGAAAAACAGTTTACAGATCCGTAATCTACGACCAAAAATCAAGTTTAAAATACAATAAGTAAATACTTGTAATCAACTCCAGCGCCACCTAGCACAGTAGACACCAGTGTAAACATATCTTATCGATTTAAACTCAAATTGGTTCAGTAGTTTTTGAGTCTATAAACGACATAGCAATCGACACATACGGTCTTTTTATATAGTATGTACGTATGTATAATAGATGTATGTTTGCATGTAAATATGTATTTATGTAAAAAGAGGAATAAGGCGCTTTTTGTGCTTCCTTTTTTTTTTACTTATTTATTCTCTGAGGACAATAACGAATACTCCATCAGCGCCGCCTAGAGGATGACAGTTTGTCGTTTATGACCGCAAAGCGAATATTATGACCGACACAAAGGAAATAACAAACAGAAAGCGCAACGATGGCACCATCGCTGAACGCATGGTAAAACATGTGCCAATTTATGGGAGAATACGCAAATGGGGCAGCTGGATGGACAGTTGGACAACCATTGGACAAGCGGATAAGCCGTCAGCCATTATCATCAGGTGCCTTTTAGCTGACTACTCGTTGACAGAAAAACGTACCTGCGTGTACATATGGACGTTGTAGTGTCAGAATGAATGTACAGACATACATATGTACATATGTATGGAATACAAAGTGCAAGAAATACAGCGTTGACAGTGCAACCTGTATGTAGCCTTGTGATTATCTTCAGTTTTGCATTGATACTGGTATTGCTACGATTTGTGTTGTTTTTGCGTTGATGTTACTGCCAGTTACTGTGAGCGAAATCAACACTGTGTATTGTTAATGTCATCCTGCAATAACCTTGTCGGTGTCGGGAAACGCACTAGTGCCGAACTGGTTCTGTATTAGAGAATTTAGAACCATGATTAGTGCGCGTTAATTCTGTTTTGCATGCTAGCAACTGGCGAATTGAACATCGCGATGGCCTAGCAAGTGTCAATAGCCCCCCCACTACATCCCCCTTTCGATAGTTCCGAACTAGTACTAAATTATGTAGTTCCGAAACAGTTCTAAAATCGACAGAAGAAAAAAGTATTATGGTTTTTTCAATCTTCTTGGGTTTTCCGTGTGTTCGATTTCAAATTATTTTCAGAGAAGTGTGTTTTCAATTTGAAATTCAATTTCTCTGAATGATTTGTAAGAATTGTACGTTTACATGCCTTCGCCTGTAGCTGAATTTTCGGAGGTGCTTGCATAAAGCGCTTCCCAATCGAATTTTACCACTTACCTTCTAGTTTACAAAACACATTACTTCAACCTGGCCATGTCATTGGAGTTAAGCGAGAGAATGTAAAAATGTTTAACGAGAAAGTGAAAAATTTTGTCTGGCGGTGAATTGTAATGCGTTACTCCATCGATACAAAAAGTAAGCGCTTACCAAAGAATCAAAGTTTTTTCTGGATTTGGTTAAGAATCTGTGCTTGTGCATCTGTGTCTTTGTCTAACATGTTGAAAGCATTTCTTCACGGCATTTCCATACATTTGACAGCTTTTCCATTCGTGTTGAGCGCAATTGATGGCTTCAAAGCATCGCACCGTTGTTTTTATTTTTTCATCCTTGTTTCTACCTTTTTTCGTGCGTTTTTCTATAATATACTGCTGCATCCTGTTAGTGTTGCTTTATCGCATCGTTTTTTTTTTTTTTGTGTTCAGAATTTCAAAGCAGCATCAATCCTGTGTTCATTTATGCCAGTTTGAGAGTGGAAAAATGCAATGGGAAAACTGTGTTGCGTGTGCGCTCGTTAAAAGGCATGGGTATAGATGTACACTCACGCAGGTAACTTATGCGAATCCTGCAGTGACAGCTTATACATTTAGTCTAGGTTACTGTATTTGTTTTCTAGCTGAAATAGTTCGCCTGTGATTTGAGCAACTAGTGTTTTTAACCAAATGGCAGTTTGTCAATTGACATACTATTTATTTACTTTTTTTTATCAATTAATTGTTGATAAGCATCACCAGTTAAAACAAATGGCAAAAAAAATGGAAAGCGTAGAATGCGAGCGTGGCATTCGAGAAGAGTTTGTTCGTTTTTAACTGTAAAATTTTATCGCCAAGCTAGAAGGAATGATCGCAAGCGTCTATAGTTTTTATTAATTCAACATTTGGGATGCCTTATAAGACTTAACTCAAGAGTTCTTTAATGTGGTGACTAAATGGTCAGCTAAATCTTTCTCCACGCGCATCCCACCAAGGGGGCAGCGGTTGGGAGGAGGTACCGTTCAACTTCTACATGGATGGGTCGTAATTTTAGGCTCCCAGATCACTGCCGTGTTTTTCAGGCGGAGGTTGCTGCTATTAAAGAAGCAGTGGATTTGCTGCTACAGTGTGCGATTAGGGAAAGGAGGTAAACATATACTCAAAAAGCCGGGCGGCAAAGAGACCTTCAGCTCCCTTCTAGTACGCTCGAAGCTTGTGAGGCAAATCACAAATCCTCTTCGGTCGGAATATTATCTTGTCAAACTTGTTGAAGTGCCGGGCCATAGTGATATCGCAGGAAAGTGTGTGGCTGATGAACTGGCACCCCCGAACCAGTATGACTAAAAAAAGAGAGGGTGCGCAGTGACTTCTTGCGGACTTCTCTTGAAAAGGTGGGCCCTGCGTCAACTCGGCGAACGATAAGCCAGTGCATGCGTCACTGCTAGGTCGCTCTAGCCGAGTGTGGACCGCGGCGGTCTAGGTATCTCATTAGGCTTGGGAAACCACATCTTTCAACACTGGTGGGTGTACTGACAGGTCACTGCCCGAATGGGGTTCACACAGTGAGATTGACCTGACCAAACCTGACCCCCTTTTTCGCAGCTGCAAGGGGACAATGGGGTGGAATCTTTCCCAGTTAACTACCGCTTTTCAGTACAAAAACTGAAAGTTAACTGCCGAATTTGAGTTAACCCTGTTAACTGTAAAAACGCACTTAGACTGTTAAGCTTTTTTTTTTTTGGATTGTAATCTGTCCAACACTTCCTCTTAGACAGTCTAGCTTTTGTTGGATCGCGGATTAGGCACCTGAGTTCATAATTTCTAACTAGTCCAGATGAGCTCTCTCTCTCTAACATCTGCTGCCGGCGAAACTTTGTCCTCGGCACGAAGCGAAGTAGTGGTATCACAAAGAACTAATACTCACTGTCTAGTTCTCAATTTCAAAGGCCTTTGAAATGCTATTGTGCAAATACTTTTACATATATATGTATGTACACATCGTTTAAAACTTTGTCATGGATGGATTACTGAAAAGGAAAATTTCTAAGAAAAAAGTGGTAAGAGCTTTTGTAAGTAATGCTGATATCGACTTGTAAGTAGGCGCATGTGTATTACATATGTATACTATATAAACAAATAGCAACTGTGCATAATCCTGCAGTTATATCAAATTATCGCATAAATAAATAATACATTCAATCATTAATGTCGATATATTCATTCGTGCACATAAACACAAACATATTTATGTATGCATGTTCATACATGTGCATTTACAGATGTACTTCCTTCCTTTTGGTATTAATTTCACTTACCGCTTCCGCCAAGTGCCCAACGAATCCAATTTCCTTTGACGAAATGCCGCCTTGCGCTGCATACCAATGGATGAGCGTCGGAAGCGGCGGAGCAGTGGCGCACCGCTGGTTGTCGAATCGACAGTGTGGCTCGATTCAGTTTCACTGCCACCATCTGCCTCCCTACAGCTGCCATTCGCATCATTTCCGCCATCCTCATTGCTGTCGTCATCGTCGTCGTCGTCGTCGTCGTCGTCGTCTTCCGATTCGGTTTCCTCCCGCACGGCTAGCAGCAATTGCTCCACGGACATTGTATCGCTGTGGCTGCTTTCGCTATCGCATTCACAATTCATAAACGAGATAAACATTGTTGAAGGTAGTAGTGGCTCGCTCGCTGCAGGCAGCAGTGCACAGGCTGCCCTGGATATATGGATTCTTGGTTAAGTTGGTGAATAGTTGACAAATTAATGTTGTTGTTGTTAGCGGCAAGAACCTTATCGTGTGGGTAGGACAAAACAATTTGCAACTGAAAATTGTCGATGTTTACGTTTCTTTTTCCTTTTGTTTATCTTTTCGCATTTCAAAGCAGTTTTCACTTTCTAAATGCTCCACTGAGTTGTTGTTGTCACTTGTTTATTTATCTTTCCTTGTTTTGCTTTTGCATTGGCATTAACCTGTGTTAATGTTTTTATACCCTCATTTATTTTTATTTTTTTTTCAGGCAAGTAATTTAAAATTCATTAATTTCTGTGTCGCTTAAACCGACAGTTTCGCGTATTTGATTTCTGCTTCACCTTTTGCAAGGTTGTTTACCTGTTTTTTTCCACTCACAATTTATTTATCCACAATTATTATTTACCTCTGATTTGTATCTGAATTTGTTTATGAACAAAAAAAAACCATAACAACTAGTGCAACAATGTTTTAATGCAAACGAACGACTGTATTTATGTATGTACACTAGGGTGGTCCAAAATAAGTAAAGCACAGTATACGGTAATTCAGATAGCCAAAACAAAAAATGTAAATATGCTTATTCGACATTTTGTTTGAATGTATTGGTTGATATTTTTTTTTCACAGTTGTCGTTTTCGTTAACCCAAATGAAATCAAATTTAAATATTAAATAGAAAAAATAGTGGGTACATTTATCTATTGAAAATTGGTTGAAACGAACCTTTAAACCTTTATGGAAAGTGGTTCGGTTTTCGGTTCGGATCAAACATTTGGTTCAGTTAATTAATAGAAAAAAGCGGTTTTCCGGTTCAAAACCGGTTCGGTTCAAAACCGGTTCACGTCCCTGATTTCATGTATTAATTTTCAAATAAGCATATTGTCAATGGCTGGTTTACTGTATACTATGAAGTAAAGTAGGAATTTTAATACTCTCACCCCCTAGGATTGTTCTATATCGAAAAAATAGACCCTTATTTTTTCATTTGAAATCAAAAAATATGTAGAGGTCGCTCAAAGTGCTCAAAGTTTTCCTTGTATTTTATATAAAAATTCCGACTTGCTTTTTTTACATGTATTTTTGGACCACCCTAATGTGCACACATTTTTATGTGCATATGTACATATGTATGTAAAAATACTAGTACACGCACATATGCACGTCCATATGTACACCCGCAAGTAATGTAATCAATGTTGCCGTTTTGATCCATTCGGATCCAAACGAATACTTTTCCCAACGACTTTTTTGTGTGGACAGTTTTTTGGTGCTCAGTACAAATTCGGATATCTTTCTAAACAAAAACATATTACATACATATAGTTACTTTAGACCACGTAAAAAAATAAAAACCCTCCAATTCGACCGCCATCGGACTCTGATTTTAGTATTTGCTATAGCAATGATCCTCTAAACTATAATAATACATTGATTACATACTATTTAAGTATTATGAATGCTCAGATTCTATAAATTCCTAAATTATCCTTGTTTAATCGCTTGCCCTGTTAGGGTCAAATCTAGTAATTAAGATTTTTTTTTTTTGGAATTTCACGAGTACTTAAATAACATGTAATCAATGTATTCGTATAGTTTCGAGCATTTTGATTAATCCTAGTAAATTTTTTTGACGTGGTCTAATATACATACATATACATATATACATGTATATATTTCCGTAAATTTTTCTTCATGAAATTAGTGACAAAGAAAAATTATTAGATAGTGCAATGGCGATTGTTAAAGTTTGACTATAAGATTGAGGTTGTAGACGATATTGAAGTTTTTTGGGGGAATTAGTAAAAATTAGCTCCGCTGCTGTTCTAGAAATGGTAGAAAACATTCAATGTATTCATCAAAACGCGGAAATGCCACGTAACCACATAATATGCTTTTTCACTGCAACCTATCGGCTATTTTAAGAATGATACGTGGATATTTAAAACAAAAAACTTTTTAGGCTAAATTTTGGATACTTTTTTTTGGGAGGCTGCGGTAACACTGGATGTAATCAAATACTGTTCTTAGCACTATCGCAATCACATGCTAGCAAAGATTTAGAAATGTCACCACGTAGACTTGCTTTTTTATTTGTTTAAGTAAATAAATGCAAACAGTTTAATCGCGCTTCCGTGCCCAACCAATTTACAACCGAATAAAAGTCACTTTATAACCCAATTAAAGAAAAAATGATTATAGAAATGGTTTTGAGGTTTTATGTATTACAAATTATGTACGAGTATACTAAGTATTTATGCATACGTACATTAGACTGATTCAAAACAGTCGTCGACTAACTTTTTTTAATAGCCCCCTCTTCAATGCCCCCGGGGATATCAAAAAATGCCTATTAAAAGCGCAATTTTTAATATGAAGTTTAAAAGGTTGCCCATCGCAGTTTTTAGAAAAAAATTGTCTTCATCTTTGGAATTTGTTTTCTCGGCTATAAATTATTGAACTAAAAAATGCTATACATATTTTTATGGGAAATTAGACGCTCTACAATAAACGTCTCATATAATTTCTTGGTTTAACGGTTATTCAAACAAAAAGTGAAAATTTTGCCATTATTACAGTTTTTCTCCTATTTTAGGTAAAATAATTAAAATTATCTTTTTACATCCCCCCGAAGGTATTGAGGGGGTATTGAAGGGGCGGCTATTAATAAAAAAAAGTTTGTCGATTTTTTTGAGTCAGTCTAACATACATACATACATAAGTACATATACATATACTACACATAATAATAATAGATTGGCGTTTACAAAACTTTTTTTTAATTTTTTTTTTATTTTTTATAATATACATGTAGTTAATTTGTAAAATTGTCTGTTGCATTGTAATTATTCAAAATTGACCTCTCCACCAACCCACCCTTTTTCAGCTGCTATGGCTATATGTGTAGTCGTACATAACTAATTACGAAATGCCGCTGGTCATTTACGCTTCATTAGCCGCATTCATAATCGTACTGGAAATGAAGCGTAGGCAAGGTAGGAATTTCGTTGTCGAACAACCTGCCCCTATGACCAGCACGAATTCACGAAAACAAACAATGCGCGCAGTCGAGCAGCAAGCCAAGTGAATTCTGCAGCTGCCCTATCCTCCGTCTGCAGCCGGCCGGTACAGCTTGAAAATTCCGCGGTCATACTGTGTGACTTAAATGCTTGTGTAAACTTAAAGATGTGTACATACATCTATTTATGTAGTTTAAAATAAATACCTGTAGAATGAAACATCACCGTGCAAAATAACTTTCATTTGAAATATATTTGACGGCAGGATTTCTTCTTCGCGGAATCTTTATGGTATTTTTGCGCCCAACAATCTTCTGAACTAAGTTTTAATTAAGGCTTTATACTATATTTTACCATCCCTTATAAAGAAAGTTATCAGAGTCAAACGCAGCTATGAATTCATATGAATATCTGATTTTTTTTTGGGATAGGATATGTGTAAAGCCCCAATTTTTTCGAAAAGCAAATGAGGCGGATTTATAATTTTGCGCTCCGAAGGGAAAATGTGTCTCTCTTTTATGGCAGAAGAAAACTCCGAGGTTTGCCATTTCCTCCCGAAGGACTGCTAAACAATTTTTTTTTTGGATGTTGCTCAGAACAGGAATCTAACCTGGGCCCTACCGTGTGAAAATAGCTCTAACTACTCTGCGACTACGGTTGTTTTTTCGAAAAAATGTTCATATGGGTATGTGTTGCAATATCTATAGGTCACGAAAGGATTGGCCGTGAATGGGTTGATAATTGTCAATCCTTGAATTTTATCGGGTAATCGGCCAAAGGAATTAAAAAACAATTGCATAGGAATAGAATACTTATGTCTGTATGTTTGTATGTAAATGCATACAGAAGGGAATTTTCAGCAGGCAGGTTAAAGCAGACGCGAAAAGAAGGTAGTTTCAATAAACAACTTTTTTAAGGATACTGAGATTTTTTAAGCTTCATAATTTGTTCATGTTGCTAGCAGCGTTACCACATTGTTAATATTTAAAAATAAATTAGGGAATTTCGAGATGGTAATTTCTTTCGCAGTAAATGGGTGTAAATATTTTAGTCTTTTTAGATGAACAGCAAGAACCTGCCTGGAAACCAAACAAGTCTAGTACATGATATACATACATATGTAGTGAAAATATGTACATACAAAGAATGCAATTTTACCTCGATATGCAACGGATAATGGCATATGTATGTAACTTTAGATTTGAATATGGAATTGAAAAAAAAAACGTTTTACAGTCCTTTCCTCTAGAGTCACATTTGAATTGCACAATAAATAAAAAAAAAATCGGACTTTGTTAACTGGTCACCATCAATGTTGAGAAAATATGCACAGATATTTTAGAAGGCTTTCCTTGCTCACTCCGCAAGGGCTTAAGCCGTGGAAATTTTAAACATTTTGTACCGTCTTCCTTGCAGTTACAGTGGTATTTCGTATTTTTGCAGCTTCGAAATGCGCAACTCATTTTTATTTTTATTAATTTAAAAAATAATTTTTTTTTTTTGTTTTGTGGACCAAATTCTTTTGAGCAAAAAATTGTATTATAATTTTCAAACTGGTAGCTTGATTTTGATGAAAATGTCACAATCTCAGCAAAAGTTAAATTGCTAACATGGCTGCTAATGCCATTAAGTGAAACTACCTATAGCCAAAAATATTTATGAAACTTTGCATGTAAGTATGCATGTACGCACATGAATATTTGGTAGCGAAATTGGAAAATAATGCATACAAATTATAAGCCAAAAATATACTCAAATAGCCAGCATTTAACGGTGCGAGACATTAGGGGGGAGCAAGCGACTCCCACCCGCAGCAAACACTTGGCAAAATGGCAAATCGATGTTGACGATGTGTACTGTTGTTGCATTGATTGCTTGCTTGTTGTTGTCATCGCGTTAAACATACCTATTGCCATTTGTCTGCTCTTTTTATCTCAAAGCAAATTAAATATTTGCACTTGATTTTTTTTCGCAGTTCGTACAATTCTTATAGCCCTCCTTCTACGCCTCCAATTTGGTTCAAACGCCGCCGCTTAAATGACATTGTAATAAGAGCGAAACGTCAAAATGCCAATTTGCTGTTTGTCTGTCTGTCTGTCTGTTTGTTTGCCAAAGCAATCAACTGTAACGAACGCCATAATCGCTGGCGTTTTTTCCCAAGAATTGTCATTGCTGCTGCCGCGAATGCTTTCGACGTGACTGACACAATTGTTGGTGGTGGTGGTGTTGTCATTTAGGCGTGTCATGTGCGTCACAAAAACACGCAGAAGGAGAAAGAAATGTGAAATTTGAAAAAAAAAAATGGTGTAAATCGAAAATATACATAGGAATGCTATAAAAAAATTTCGTAA